AAAGAAATCGGCAAATGATAATATTGTCCAATATCTTCAAATCAGTATCCTATCAGATTCAAATCAGGATGCCTATTAATGTTTATTTGTTAATTTATCTAAAATCAGTAAACATACTGATTTGCTATTTTTCTACTTGTGCAAGTATAGGTGATTGGCATTGTTATTAAAATTTCTTGCTATTTCTTGTAAACGGCCTTGAATAATTTTAATCAAGTGTGATTTTCCTGTTCTCGCAGTTCCCATTATTATAATCCTAAGTGGTTTAATTTGGATAGTATTTGCTATTAAGATACTATAATGAGATTCAATTCGCTTGAATATTGCTATTTGTTTCTCATTTAATGTATGGCTATCTATAACAAAATTGATTATTGAATCCTCATTATTAATAGTATATAAAGAATGAGCTTGTTGTATAAAGTTAGCCATTTTTGCAAAATTTAAAGTGGGATAACGCTGCATAACATTGCCAACCCAATCATAATTTTGATCTATATTACGTAATCCTAAATTAGAAAAGCTTTCAATAATTGCATTTAGACCCATCCCTAATAAGATCATCCATTCATGCAGTATTTCTCTTTCACATTTATCATTTTGTTCATTATCATCACTTTCTTCACTAACAAGTTCATTTTTCAAGTTATCTACAAGAGGGCCAAGTAAATCAATTGGTCCATTTTCGATTACTACATGGTGCTTATTAAAGAGGTCTGACCATGAAGCAGTATTGTTTTCAATTAATTGATCAAGATCATGATGGCAAACATGAAGCAAAACTTTTATACGACAAAAATCTTCCCATTGAGTTTCATTATACTGAGGTGATGGTCATGGCCAAATACGTACAATGTTTTCAAGCTTGCATTGTTTCCACTGACCATTCCAAAAATTATATTTTAAATAAAGCTGAAAAAGTGAAAGGTCTTCAAGTTCAATAGGTCGACTCCAATACTTTTGAAGAGGTGATTGTACAGTTTGTTTAGTTTCATTATTTATTGAGAAACTTGTTTCATTATTATTTCTAGTACCACAAAGCCATCTTGGAGCATCTTTGTTAAGATTTAAACTAATAAATCGACGACTTGAGTGGTAAAGTGGAATACCAAGAAGGATATGACATGTTTCTTGTACAGAAATATCATGCTCTGCAATAGTATGTAGCAATAATCTTTAAAATACACCAAGAGATGAATCATTGGGTTTACTATTGCTAAGAATTTGATTTAATATTTCTGAGAAAGCAGCAGACCATGGCTCTGATTTACTTGCATATTTAGATATATATTGTAGAGCAGCATTTATATTAAGAATTGGTTTTAAATCAATATTTGCATACCAGCCCTGAAGCTGAAGTTGATTATGTGGATTAATATAGGGATCATTTCTTGCCGTAATTAGCTCAGGTTGGCTATTGTTATCATATAAGTATATGGCTTCTGTAGTTTCTTTAGGATATCCAAACCTGCAATGTTGTTGACCTTTTTTATTTACTCGAAGGCAATATGAAGAACTGCAATGTGTATGTCGTTGCAGCTTGTTAACTAATTCCATATAATCTAGCAAGTCATCATGTATTTTATTATGAGATTTTTGACAAGGATGGTAATCAGGTGTGGGAGCATCAAGTTCAGGATTAATTGTAGTAACTAATGAATCCAAATATTGTATTACATTACACATTAACTCTTCATTCTCTTTCATTCTTTCCTATTTAATAATTGGAGCATCTTTTATTTTTCCAATGCCATATACATGAGTACTACCACGATGTTGTCACTCAAACCTATACCACTAGTCTTCAAGATTCCATTTAGGAATCAATACTTGTTCTAAAAATAGTTTAAAGCATTTTTTGAAAAACCATACAGCAATATGTGGATTGTCAATTAGATTTTGGCATCTTTGTTTGTTTGTCTCTTGTTCTGTTGCCAGGTTCTCATTATGTGGTATAAATTCATGAAGTTCTGGCCAATGCAAATCAGCAGCACTAAAAGTGAAAAAGATCATCCTATGAGATTCCAATTGCTTAATCATGTCTGTGAGTTCTATCTGTCTTTTGTTCCAAAATTGGCAAGTTCCATGCAAGCACTCACCGAATTGTATGATTTTATTTGCCATATGACTATCACTATCAACCATTTCTTGAATTTCTGCTTAATATATATTTTTCCTTCTTGTAGGGCTCTCCATCTCATTTGTGAATTTAGTGTAAAATATTGGCACCGAGTGTGGTGAGCAAATCGGCCATCCTTATATTTTAGCAAATATGCAAAGTATTTAGCCGGCTTAATTTCTCTAATATGTTGTGATCGAAGATTTGTATTTCCAGTCGAATACAAAGTAAGAAAAGCACGTGCAATATACCCAGGTGTTTGGAATTCATTAATAGGACTTTCATCTATATTCGGCCACATAAGAGGAATATTATTAGCTTGCATTTGATTAAGAGTGCTAGCAATAGCATGTTTTTCATTAAGAGATAGAAAGAGTGTAGGAACAAAGTTGCTAGTAATAATTTCTTCAGCATCATCATTGATATTATCAAAATATTCACCCTTTACATCTTTGAGCTGGGGCAGCTAATCAATAATGGGTCCATTGTCAGATAAGGATCGTAATATTTCATCATCAATAGCAATATTAGCATAATAATGATTATTTACTTTTAACCAATATAGTGCATGAGCAACCTTAACATGACGAACATTAAAATCTTTAAATTCTATACTATTTGCAGATTGACGATACACAACAAGAATATCTAATGATGATGGATGCTAGAGAAGTCTAGTTGTGAACTCTGATACATCTTGTGGAAAGTTGATAACATTACCATAGTATGCATACTGACCTCCACGAAGACAATACACCAAAATAACAGGAAAAATTTGTGCAATTAACATTTCTTCTATCTCTGTAAGCCTCTGTAATTCTTCAGGTACATCACCTGGATCTATATTGTTTTCTTCTAAGAATTTTTTTATAACATCTTTAGTATCTTAATAACAGCGACAACACTCTTTCCTTACACCTATAAGCTCAATCGATAGAAAATACTTCTTACAAATAGGACATAATTTATTTGCAAGTTTATTAATCTTAGTATGAAAATTCTGTAAAAGATCTCGATCAGATTCAGAAAGCTGCTATTCAATATTAACAGAAGGTGATTCTATATACAATAAATTAGTATCCTGGTTCTGGGTATTATTGTTCTCTAGTTGACGTTTTGTTCTTTTCTGACGTCTTGACTCATGTTCCTTTTTTAAACGCCTTTCATGTTCTTTAGCAGTTTCTGATTCCCTTTTTTTCTTGTGATTGAATGCGATGTCTTTCATTTTTATCATTTGGAGTTTTCATTTTTTTTGTACTTTATAATGGTTCAATTTTTAAGTGATTAACTAACAAAGTATTTTTTTTTAAGCGCCTTATTAATAATGAGTTTTTTTAACTCAAATCAATTTATTAGAAAACTACTACAGGTTGAATCAATGAATATCGGGTGCATATGAGAAAACAAGTTTCCTGCTATGTATCTGATAGTCTGCTATAGATCTACCAAATAACTGCTGAATAACAGTAGCATATTGGCAACATAATAGCAAATTTGGCAGATCTATAGCAGACTATCGAGTACATAACAGAAAACTTGTCTTCTGGTATGCACCTGATATTTATTGATTCAACCTGTGTCTACTTTAATTTTAGATTATTTATACAGTTTAAAGTAAAAGAAAACTACTACGAATAAATAAAAAAGAAGTATGTATATAGAAAGTTTTTATCAGAAAAAGCAAACTATTAAAATAATAATAAAAAATAAACTGTTTTTTAGCTTAATATTTTTTAATTTAATGTAATGTTTTAAATTATCATTTTTTTTTATTGCAAATAAATAAGATAAATAAATCTATAACTATATATTAAAAAAATGTGTGTGTAATGATAATGTTTAGATTACTAATATATCTATAACTATATACTAAAAAAATATGTGTATAACGATAACATTTAGATTACTAATATAAATAATTCATTTAAATTGTGTAATATTAAATCTGTTATTCTGATTTGTTAATAAATTCTTAAGTAAAGATATCTTCAAACTCTAAGCAGTGATGTAAATTGGGTTCGCGCAGTAGGCACAGCGTACATAGATTTAAATTTGCGCGTATAATAGTGCTCTCTGTATATATAGTGTGCATATAACTTTTTTTTTTTGTGCACATTTTTTTGCATTTGTGCCAATAAAATTTTTTTGAATTTATAACACTGGCTCTAAGTAAAGTTGTAGAGGAGATAATTCTGAGTCAAATGGTAGTTAGATCATCGAAATTGGCCCAGTGGTTCTTGAGATATCTTGGGTTAAAGGCGCGAACATAAGGATCGGCAAAGTCACTATTACACAAAGTATTAATTTTGTTAATCCTTATGTTTGGATCTTTAATCCCATATATCTCAATAGCTACTGGTCCGATTTTGATGATCTAACCACTATTTGATTCAGAATTATCTCCTCTACAACTTTACTTAGAACTTGAAGATAACTTTATTTAATAACTTCTTGCATAAACTTAAAGAAACTATAATTGGACCTACTTTGAGTTCAATGTAACCTACTTTGGATTAAAATATACAAAAAGCGGTTTTTTGTAATTATTTTGACAACAAGTAGTCCAATTTGAATGATTTTTTTTTTAAATAAAAGCTTTTAGTGAGGCATATCTAATAAAAAAGAGTTTATTTAATTCTAATTACTAGATTCTAAAATATTTAAAAAACAATAAATTTTTAATTTTAATAAATTAAATTAAAATTAAACAAAACCAAATTATAATCTATATTAGAGATAAAATTATTTAAATTAATTTGCTTTAGATTTAAATTTTTATTTTATTTTATATTAAATCTTTTCTGATATCGCACGGATTTATAGCTTAATAATTATAAAAGTTTTACTATATATATTTTATTTTAAAATTATATTTAAAAATTTTATAAGTTTATTCCTGTGTATTATTGCACGGGTTTACAACTAGTAAGTGCTAAATGTAAATTTCGAATTTTTTAATCAAATAAATAAAACTGAGGTTTCAGAATTAGCTTATTTCGAAGATAAGTGGGTGCTTAAAAAATCTTATTTCAGATTTAAAAATTAAATAAGCATATCCGGTGATAACATTGGCTTTTAATACTACCAGTAAGTGATTAGCAATTAAAGATTAATTATTTTGAAATGAATACATTGTTTATTTTGTCAAAAATCAGATATATATTTGATTATTAATTCTAGAATCCCAAACGGAAGCATATTGATAGAAATAAGTATTTTTTATTTATTAAATACAATATTATACACTACATCATTATATAGTAAAGCCTTATCTGACTTTATAATTCTCTAATGCACATTGTTAAAATTTTGGTCCCTACAAGCTACTTTCAGTTCATGGTAAGAAAAAAGACACAGTATTTAAGATTTAATATTCCTTCAAAGAACTTATCATAATGGGCTTAGTTAACATTAGGATCTAGAACTTTATATAAAGCGTCTAAAACAGTATTATTTTTTACTTTTTCTGCTTCATCAAATAAAACAATAGGAGCTTTGGTGTTAGTGTCAAGCTTGCGTTCAGTTTCTCCTTTAGCAGTCAAAAATCACCATAGCAGAAAGGTTTAAAAGAGGCTCGCAAAATAGTTATTCCAACTGGGAACATAGAGGATAGCAGAATTTGCAGGGTTGGCATAGATTTTGGTGGCAGTCATATCTTTAATAAGCTCTTACAATTCCTTAATTTCTTGTTGTTGAAATTCAGTTTTTTGCTCAATAGCTTCATACTTAGCTAATTGTTCTTTTAACTTTTCAAGATTAACAAAAATAGCTACATTAGTAAAAGCCATAGTCTTAAGCTACATTTAGGAAGGTCTGACTACAGTTCAATGGTTTAATTTAGGGTTTTGCAAGTGCTGGGCATGGTGCCGTTAAAACATAGTGCCTGGGCAGCCAGGCACTATATTTAATGGCACTATTCCTAGCACTTGCAGAACCATAATTTGATCACAAACTACTCACAGGCAAATGGTATATAGACAACCCTATATAAACGAATGTACTGGTCCTGGTAAAATTTGAAACTGTCATTTCATCAACAATCTACATCTAACTATAAATTAAACTAACTCAACCTTGATCGGGATAACTTAGTCATTGGCGAAACTTGGTTTATAACAACTTCAGTATAGTATATAAATAAAATTGGTTTCAAACAACAGAATAGGTGCCAAATAAAATCAACATTCTCATGTATGTATATACATATCTGGTTAAAATGAATAATAAAAAAAAGTCTATTTTTAGATGGTTGGGAATCAAAATTATTAATGATTTCAAAATAATTTAGCATGAATACACATTGCTTACTGAGTAAAGTTGTTATTTTATATAATAAAAAAAAACTTATTTAATTTACTAATTTTACAGGTTATGTTCTATCGAATTTAAAGGTTAAGTAATAGTTTTTTGCTAAATGTAATATAGTTTCTGTGATTTACCACTTAAATTTTTTATTTTATTTTTTGAGGATCTTTTTTCCAGTTACACAACATCTATAAATTTATCATACATACAGTACTTGATTTTTGGAGCCATTCACTTCGGTACTTCTTTTGTCATTAGAGTTGTGCTTGTTCTTCGTCGACGGTATTGCTTATTTCAGTGCCTTTTCTTCATTTATAGCACTTGTCACATAGGTTTTCAGTTCAAATAGGCAGCAAGATGTTTCATTATTGTCTATATACAAAACAATCATGCTTAGAAATATATAATACTTATCTTTGTTTAATTTTCGAGTTTGCCGTAAAAGTCAACTTTTTTTTTACAAAATCTTTAGCTCGTTTGAGAATAATTACAATCTGTGGATTTCTTTTCTTTCTTGTTTACTTTGTATATACTTTTCAAGTTTTTAGATACTTTTCTTTGTAGGTTCTTGTTGCTGGAGTCGTTTATCTCGGTGCTTTCGTATCTTGGTGCTTTTGTTACAGAAGTCATCCATTTCAGTGCTTGTGTACTAAAGTTTTTTTTTTTTTTTTTTTTTTATATTGCCAAACATAGAAACTTTATTAGTCATGATAAACACCTTTTTACAGAGCAATTGATATACAGTTTCTAATTATATTTGTGCTACTATTACTAGTCACCCAATGTGGCATTATACTCCTTATTTTCCTATAT